AAAAATCACTTTGAGGCCTCTAAAAGGACAGACCATTAAAACATATACTAAGAAATGGGAGGATGGAGAGAAGATCCTTTTACAAACTTGTGAGCTACTTTAAGCCACACTGCTAAGAGGAAGCAGGCTTGACCACAACAGAAAGTCCCCCCAAAGCCTCTACAAGTAGAATCCAAGAGCAAGATTATGGAATCCCAGGTTCTGATCTTTTGTAAATGGCCCTGATCAAATTGAAGACAAATGTATTCTTTCTGAAAAAGTAGGCAAAATTGCACTATGAGAACCAACCAACCTGTAACTATTACAATGAAAGACTAACTAGTAGATTTCGTCCCCCACCTTTTTTTTTTTGGCAGAGGATTTGGCAGCCGAAGCAGAGATTTGAAGCCATGGATGATGGCCCTCCTCCTTGTCTTATCACTGGCAGTGGTGGCGGTGGCTATTGGTCTTCTGGTTCACTTCTTAGCCTCTGGTAGGTAAAATTAAGAACTTAACTCAGTTTGTTTTCATTTTTCTTCTAAGCCTTATTTGACTATGACTGTTTATGGTTTAATTAAAAATATTGTTTTTAACCTCTAAACATCCATATTAATTTGTTCATTTATTATATTATGTGATCATCAACCATTTGTTGAATGCCTGCTACATGCATTGTACTTTTCTGACTGCTCTTGATACGTCATTAAACAACGAAGACAAATTTCCTATCTTCGTAGAGCTTTAAGTCTAGTATTCTTCTGAGAATCTACATAGATAAAAAATTGGCTGAAATATAAAAATAATTACTGAAAATATGAACCATTTACCATATATTCAAGTAAAAACTATGATATTTTACTTACTAAATTAGTGCTCTTTTAATCATGACCATCATTTCCTGCCCAAAATTTCTTTATCAAGAGAAAAATACAGGGGTGCAAACATATGAACAATTGTGAGGATGGCCTAAGACCAAGAAGTGATTCATTCTGATGTACATATATGATCACGATAGGTTGGAACTGATTCAATGGCTCATAGCAACTAATCACAGTAATAAATAATGAATTTTAAAAATATCAATAAGCTATAAGTATGCCATAGTACTACAGCTCATTTAAGAGGAAAATTTACTCTCTAAAATAATACTCAGAAATCATATTTTTCTGTGTACAATCCTAGTTCTTTTTGGTAGAGTGCCTGTGCATTCCTTCCATTTTCTGTTGATACTTCCTGCATCACTCAACATTTTTCCCACAGAACTTTCAACATTACAGCTCAAGACATGAATGTTTCTTTAGTGCTTTCAGTTTGACACATGCTGAGCGTGTTCTTCCTTTTGATTATCTAAATCCAGGTCTTTGCACATTTCATTATAATATTTTGTCCTCCCAAACTTGCCTTTGAAATTTTCTGTTCATAATTTCTTCCGTGTGTTTTAGTTACTCTACTAGCAAGAAAAAGTTTCATGATCTCCTCTGACATATACTTTGGTCTTT